TTTTTTCCTTCCCTATTGCCTTCTAACATTTTCAAAGTCTGGGAGTGGGGCAAGCAGGGATGAGGAAGAATAGGCAAAGCTCTGAGTCTTGGGGTGGTCAAAGGAGAGGAAAATATTCAATAAAACCACCCTCAAAACCTGTGTGAGAAATTTCTGAAAAAAGCAGAAGCTTTCCATTAAAACTTGGAGTCTAGAAGAGAAGAGAAAAAAAAAAACTATTTTAATTGCATTTTTCTACTATTTTTAGGTGCCATGTCCAATGACCAGAAGACGGGGAATCAAAGATTGTGGATGTGCAGGGGTTTTTGGCAATGGGGACGTGGGAAGTCAGGACATCAGGCTCACAGCACGAATGGGCTGAGATGGGGACAGTGGCCATAGGAGCATCCCATTCCTGTTCCACGTGGCCTCGTGGAGGTGGTGGGGCTGTGCTGGGACGTGGCCGCTCTGCTGTGACTTGGATGGGTGTGGGCCACGAGCCGCCATGGGGTGCTGAGATTTGCAGTGCCCATTTTTAGCACCCTGTATCCCTTGGGCTCCATCCCCGTGCAGTGCCCCCACTGCCACCCATGGCCTTGGGAACCCCACGTGTCTTTTTCCAGTTACTGTGTTTCTCGGGAATAGAATCAAAAAGACAAATTCCACAAGCGAACACTGAAAGAGTTTTATTTAGCAGCCCCTGTGTCATCGTGCAGCTGTGCAGAGCTGCTCAGCAGCCCCCTCCTGCCCCCATCCACATGTGGCCACCACCCCCAGCTTCGTGCAGGACTCTGCCGAGTTTGACATGAAGATGGGGTGAAAAAAATGCAAATCAGAGGCCATGCTACCTACCTGCCCTCCCATGGCGGCCAGCACGGAACTGCCACCCCACGGAGCAGGCGGTGGGGACAGGGCCACGTGGTGCCCCACTCCCCGCTGTGCGGTGGGGATGATGCCATCCCGCCTTCAGCTCCATGATGGCGGCTGGCACAGAGGTTTCTGTCGGCGTTCTCTTCTCCGTAGCCCACAGTACACTCATCCATAAAGTAGGAAACACTACACCCTGCAGTGCTGTTTAGTAGTGCTTTCTACTTTATGGGTGACTGCACTGTCTCTCAGTCGATGTTGGCGGTTGCTCTTCTCTGGCGATGCATTTTCCTCTGCCTGCGCCCAGCCTCGGGAAATTCCTCCTGGGCAGCATGGCCGGGGGGCACGAAGGGACGGGCAGCCCCTGCAGGCATCACCTCCCACGCTGAGCAGCCAAGCGGGGCACAGGGGCCATCCCTACCTTACCCCATGGGGAGATCCTGCTTTGTAACTCTAAGACCCCATCCTGGGCACAAGGGGCAGCCTGGCCTTGCTTGTCCCTATGGGGGAACAGCCTACTTTGCAAGCCACCATTCCCTCTCAAGCTCTTTGCTGAGAACAGGGGACATTGTCACCTCGCCCCCAAAGGACAGACCCCACCTCAGACCCCATCCTGGTCACAGAGAACCTTCTTGTCTTGTTCCTGCTGGAGAGAACCCACTCAAACCTCATTATGTACTCTCAGACCCGCACCCTGGGCTCCTTTCCTTTACCCCCATGTGGAAGAACAGGACCTCCCGCCCTATTAATCCCTTGTTTGGGTACATTCCACTTCAAATTTCATTGTTGGCCTTCAAGACCCCTTTGAGCCACAGAGGACCACCTCATCTTGATCCCAAGGGTGGGATACCACCTAAATTCCCTCATTGTCCCTCAAAGCTCATCAAAGTCACACACAACCCCCCTCACCTCATCCACACACAGAGATGCCACCTCAATGTCCTCTGGTCACAGAGGACTTTTTGCACTGTTCCCGTGGTGAGGATCCTATGGAAAATTCCGGCCTTTCGGCTGGGCAACCTTTGCCTTGCCTTTTCCCTGTGGTGGAGACCCTGTCTAAATGCCACTATGATCGCAGAAGGCTCCTTTGCTTTGTCCTCATGGTGGGGACCTCATGGCAAACCCTGTCCCCATTACAGGGATTGCCCTATCAAAGTCCCCGTGGGGTCCCCATTTCATGCTCTCACCCTTGTCACTGAGGACCTCCTTGTCCCATTCTGTGGGGCTCCCACACTCTGTCCCCTCCAGGTCACCCTCCTCTTAGGGCCACAGCAGTGCCATGGTTTGGGGGCTCCTCATGAACTTCCACCTCTCCCCTTTCTTCCACCCCCCCAGTGACCCCCTCAACGTCCCCACTGTCCTTCAGGCCACCTTCTGGATGGCACCAGGAGGCTCCCGCGGCCACACAGAGCCCCACACCCCGCTCCAACCTCATCCCTGCCTCCCCCCTGCCGCTTTGGAGCCCCGCATCAGCCTCACCTGCTCCACAGCTCTGCATCCAACGCCTCCCATCCAGCAGCCACCAAAATCCCCCTCGGTGGCACTTCTGCTTCGGCCTCTTCCCGCCTCCTCCCACCCATCCGCCACAGCGGTGCCTCCTCTCCACTCCACCCCGCGGTGGGGGAAGGGGGGACCCCTTACCCGCAGGGCATCCTTAGCACCCGCTGCCCCCCTGGCATCGTGTGGGACTGTGGCTGCCAGGACCCTCCAGGCCCCCGCTGCTCCACGTGGGCACCCACCGCCGGCCACGTCCCTCTGTACGTTACCAAGTCGGGGTGCAGGTGGCCCACGCCGGTGCCGATGCTGCAGGTGCTTAATAGTCTGCTGGTGTCCGGAGGAGGAATGGGCCGCAGTGAGGAGCGGGGCTGCTTTTAACCCCATCCTGCCCACGTGGCCCCGACCACAGGAAGAGCCGTAGCTGCCGAGGAGATAACGGTGCGTGGTCCCACCCAGCACCACCCTGCAGCCCGACCGCAGCCGTGGGGCGAGGGGCAGCCGGAAGCACCGGGGGCCGTTGCAGAGCAGCCGGTTACGCTCCCCTGGGCCTTGCTGCACTGAGCAGCAAACATGTTTGGGCAAAAAAAAAAAAAAAAGCTAGTTGCACCGTTTGCACTGTTTGCACAGGGCAGGATAACAGCAGCCGTGCCCCCCATTCTCACCCCCAAGACCCAGTTGCTCGATGCAGTGTGGGGTTGGCCCCGCGGGGCTCTGCTGTGTCCCATCATCCCAGCCCTGCAGCAGGTGTTCCTCAGAGCAGAGCTTAGGGATGGCAGTGTTGGATGAGGGTTTGGGGTCTCCGAGCCCCGTGGCAGGAGTGCGGCAGGAGGGGACACGGGTGCCAGTGAGCTGTGAGCCCTAGCCCTGCTCTTTAGGAAATGTGTTGCCCAAGAAATCTTCCTGAGCCTTTCCCTTACACAGTGCTCTGCAACACCAGACTTCCCCACAGCTGAGGAAGCCATAACGGCCAACAGGAACACGAGGCCCCCGAAAAGAAAATGAAAGCCAGCTCTGCAGGGCGGGCGCATCCCTCTTGCACTGCCACTCGGGGGCTGGAGCCATGAGGGGCGGCCATCAGCACCCCATAACATCAGCACTGGGCCTGGGGTGAACCCTGTCACCAGTTTTCTAGTGCAGTTTTGCAGCCTCACACGAGAGCAAAGAGCTGTGGGTCTGCACAAGGGTCGGCTCCCAGCTTTGCTCTCCTGCTGTCACTGAGAAATGCAGCATGGAGCCAGGGAAGGTCAGCAATGCTGCATGAAGCTGTGCCTTAAACCAGGTGAAAAATGATGAGCTAAATCCCCAAAAATGGCTGTAAATGGGGATGCTTTAGTCAGTAGGATGGGTTTCACGCGGCTGTGCTAAACATTCGTATTTGGGGTGTACCATTCACTCTCTACATTGATAATCTGGGAGGAACTATTAAAAAGAAATCACACTGGTGAGGTTTGCAGAAAGCAGAGAAGGAACAAAGTCAAAATCAGCCGAGCAGCCGCTGAGATTTGACTTGCTCCCACAGAAGGAGTTGGGCGTACAGCAGGCAGAGGGGCTTTGGGCACAGAGGGAATTTGTTGTGGGGCTCCTCCTGAACTGGGGCTGAGCTGCTCCCGCATTGCCTGGCTGCCTCCTGGGTCCTGTCCAACCTGAAATGCAATCACTTCTGGGGACACCCAAAAAGTGTGGCAATGCTTTGAGTAGAGGTGAGGTGTGAGTGGGTTCTTCGTGACCCGGAGACACCCCCACACCAGACAGCACCCCGGAGGTGGCAGCGCCTGCTGTGGTGCCGGCTGTCAGGGTGCTGTGAGTTGGTCCCCAGTGGGACAGGGGGACAAAGCCACCGTGTGCAATGGGTGAGCCAGTACCCCCCACATCCTGAAGCAAAGTGAAGGAGCCACATTGCTGCAGAGGGACTTTTCCCTCACCATAGGGCCAAGGCCACACTGCTCACAGCACACCCTGCTCCGAGGGCAGCACAGCCCTGCTGGAGCTGTGTCTGGGTGGCCAGCGACAGGTACTAAGGCTCTTGGAGATCATTTATTGGAGAAAAGCTCAATTAAATGCTAATACCAGGCAAGGTGGAGCTTGTAACCTGAAGGAGGAGAGCTGGCACTGGAGCAGTATGCCAAGGGGAGGGTGAAGCACGTGGCTGGGAGCGGGGCTGGGGTGCCGTGGAGCAGGACACAAAGCTGTGCCCCACACAGAGCCAGGTGCCCTGGGGGCCGTTCCCTGCAAAGCAGACCCGGCTGCCTTCCCGGCAGAGAAGTGGGGGAGGTGATGCTTCCTCTTTCCCGGCTGCGCGGCAGAGCGTGGCCAGGGGACACGGCATTTCGGGTGTCCCAGGCTGGGTTCCTTCTCCAGCAGAGCCCCCCGCCGTCTCCTGTTTCTCAAAAAGAAGGAAATCAGCAGATCTGGTTTCATGGGCTGAGGAGGTCTGAAAGTCTCTGACTGACGATGAACTCACTGCATCCCCCGGCCATTGGTTAACTTTGCCAAGTGGCAAACAAGTTTCTAACTCATCCCCCAGTCCCCATTCCTCTGTGCTTCACACACAGAGCCGAAATAGCTGCTGAGATCACAAAGACGTTTGGGGTTTGGTGGGGGGAGGTGAAGCAGCTGCGCTTCCTCTGAGGGGGGGCCTCGTGGGAGCCCCCAGCCCCCAGCTCTCCCAACCTCGCTCTGCACCCATGGGTGTGCAGGGAACCAGCGGAGCCCCTGTGGTGCTGGGGCAGCCCCTGAGCCACACCGAGCCCTGCAGGAGAGCAGGATATGACATTGCTCCCATCTCTGCCATCATCTCAGGGCACTCAGCTGCGGCTCGGCCACCTGCAGCATCCCCCTGCATTGCCCTTTCTGCTCCCTTCCGGGTGCCAATGGCTCATGGAGCTGCTGGCCCTGGCCCCACTCATCGCTGCTGTTGCTTTTCCAGTAACTTTCCCAGTATCAGTGAGCACAGGGCAGCGGGTGCTGAGGCTCTGGGGGCGGCAGCAGGGCTGACCCAGGCCCTTGGGCAGGGGGAAGGGCCCTTGTCGAGCAGTGCAGCTCAGGAGCTGCGAAAGAGCTGATATTTCTTATCTTTCCTTGCAGCAACTTCCCCTCCTCGGCTGTGGTTGGGGAGCTTGCTGCACGCAGGGGAAGTGGCGGCTGGGCTGGCTGCCTTTGGGCCTGTGCTGCGCTTCACAGAGCTGTGTCAGAGGAGGAGGAGGAAGAGGAAAGAGTGCTCTCAACCACAGGCTGCCTGACCCCCTGCTGTTGTCCTGGGGAGTGGGAAAGGGGGCTGCGTGCCGCTGTCTCCTCACCCTCAGTGGCACAGATCTCTGGGAGCATCTCCTGCTCCACCCAGCAGTGCCTGCCAGCCGCAGATGGAGCCTTCCTTGAGCTGCTGTTCACTCTGAAGCCTAATGACTGCATTCCCAACACAAGCCACCAGCGTTCCTGTCAGAGCAGCCTCAAATGTCACCAGTGGATGGAGTCACCTGTGCTCCCTGAGCTCATGGGTGCTCATAGGCCTGGCTGCACTGCGTCATGGAGGCCAAAACTGGCTCTTGGGGATGTGCTGGGTGAGCAGAGCAGTGGCTGCAGCCCTCCTGCTGGCCAGGAGGGCTGTTGTGAAGGCACGAGGAGGAACTGCAGCACCTCTGAGCTGAGAGGAGAGAGCTGGGACAGACTGGGACACACTGAGATGGGCTGGGATTCCCAACTCTGCCCAGCAGGCTCAGCACCGCCTGCGCTCTGCTCTCTGCCCACGTTTGAGGCAGGGGACAGGACCCCGGGGGGCCGTGCCCCCATCCTTCAAGCAGCCCAGGCAGCACCAAGGGACGCGCAGTGGCTGTGCCCAGGGCTGCTGCTCGCACCTGCTGCGATGGGCCGCCTGCAGCGCCCGACCCTGGGTGCAGTGCCGCACTGGGAGCGCGGCCGTTGGGAGTGAGTCAACCAGAAACTGCCGGGTGAAACGGGCCGCGAGAGGAAGGCGAAAGAGAGCGCAAAGGGAAACCTCAAAAAGCCGAAGTGACGCGACGGGGCGGGCGCAGGGCTGCGGGGAGAACGCGGCGCCTTGCTTTGCCATATATAGACAAATCGCGGCCCGTCTGCGCCAATGACGGATGTGGGGCCGTTGCACGGCGCCGTGGGGCACGGAGCGCTCCGACATTTTCCATGCCACCTGCTGGAACCGGCTCGCAGGTGGGGGAAGGGGCGGTGGGCCAGGCCCTGTGCAACCCGTGGCCCTGCTGCTGTGCGGGCAATGCTGGTCCCCCCCTTCCCATCTCCATCCCAGGCACCCTGGGGACAGCGGCCGTGTCCCAGGGCCCCAGCAGGAGTCAGGCATCTTATCATGCAGCGTGGGGATGGAGGCCTCAGAGCCCTCAGCCCAGCTGGGATCGTTTTCGTGTTCTGGGCAGACATTTAGAGCAGTGCGGGTGGCTGAGATGGAGAACATCTGGGGCTGGGTGGATAAAGGGCACATAGGGACCTTTGTCTAGCTGGTGGGCTCCGTCCAGCTCCAGGACCATGCTTGGGCTGCAACCAGACACACAGAACAGCATGACTCAGAGCACACGTGGCTGCACATCCTGGTGAGCAGCAGGACCAGCTGCAGGGCCAGGACACAGGGAGCCCAGGAATGCTGGGGATGGGACAGACACCGTCAGGCTGCCACATCCCCCGTGACTCCAGCTCTGCAGTTCCACTTGGCTGAGTACCCTCAGGAAGCACAGTGGGGAGGTGGGAGGTCTCCTGCCCAGGGGAGGTTTGGGACCCTCTGCCAGCTCCTGCTGTTCCCCAGCCACCCCAGTTCTGCTGGCACTACAGGTTCTGGCAACAAGAAGCAGCCGATGACCGCCTTGCAGACAGCACCACGCATGCAAGCAGTGACAGCACCAAGGTGGCAGCCCCTTCTTCATGAGCTCTTTGCAGGTCTTCCCCAACAACTGACGACCCTCCAGCCAGCTCCTTCTCCACA